CATGTCAGAGCGCCGTTGTGCTAATAACGCAACATCATCAGCCAAATCGAAGTCGTTGAGATGCTCCATGGTAATAGCATAGAGGTAACTCTAAGACTAGTAGGTCTCGAAGAAACGTGCTCAACTTTTTGGCTCAGCTCTGGTACTATCTTCGGTCCCAAGCTAATCGATGCACCCCTCGAAACATAGGAGAATCCACGAATCCCTCATTTTATTTGTCAAACTTCCATAGCGAATCAAAACAAACATTGTTTAGTACTAGAATTTTGACTAGAATTGGGTACGTTAATCGATTTGCTTGGGACCAATAGGCTAGTCAAGTAGTAAGCCAATTCAAAATCGTTTGTGTTCACCGGTTGGTAATAGGCTGCCACAGCAACCCACTTTTCCGTACACGGTCAACGGCTCCAACCATGATCTCGTCGATTACGATGAGGACTTTAAAATGACTTTAAATGATCTTTATTTCTTGAATTTGTGTGGTTTACATGTTTAACTTATCAAGTGACACAGATGCGTCTTTTCAACTTAAGGTTCTTTTGATATTTCAATTATTATTAGTTAATGTTCCTAGTCCTATCAGGCCTGTTTAAAGTATGACCACCTTGGTGGGATTGGTTTGTTTTAAATTTGAAAAAGGAGACTACTTATAACTACTATTTACAACTACAACTAACCTACAACTACTATATACACCTAATGTACTATATACAAATTGCTTATCAAAGCATGTTCTGATAAATTACATTTTAGTGCAAATTTAGTCTTAATTTCGTTAATTCTGTAATCTATTTTGGCAATGCCTGCCTCTTCGTGTAAATTTGTTATTCTAATGTCGAAAGGACGATCAAGTACCATCCTCAGCACTCTATTATGAGCTACCTGGATTTTGTTCCTGTGAGTCTGTGCACATGATTCCCACACCGGAGCTGCGTAGAGGATCGCAGGTGCTATGATTTGTTTGTAGACAGCCAGTTTGTTCACCCTTGAGAGGCGGGATCTGCGGCAAATCAGCGGATACAGACACCTAACCAAGGTAGAACACTTGACTACAGTTTTCTCTACATGCGAACGGAAGAGGAGCTTTTCATCGATCAACATCCCGAGATAGGTTACTTCGGCGGACCACTCAACCCTTGTGCCATCCATGATTACAGTACAAGATGGAGCCGGTTTCAGTTTGGGCGATTGCCGATGTAGGAACATGATTGTTTGTGTTATGGAAGCATTGATTTTGATTTTCCACGTGGTGGCATAATCAGCAAAGGCGTTAAGGCATCGTTGAAGTTTGTTCGTTATTTCGCGAGGCATCCTTCCTTTGACGGCTATTGCGGTATCATCTGCGAACAGGAAAAACACGCAACCGTCGCCGAGGGGGGGAATGTCGGAAGTGTAAATGCTGTAAAGCAAGGGTCCCAGCAGACTGCCTTGCGGGACTCCTGCTGGGATGGAAAACGTGTCTGAAAGACAACCATTCAACGATACCTTAAACGACCTTTGCTGGAGGTAGTTACGGGTGATTTTAACCAGATGTAAAGGGAAGTTGAAGTTACAAAGCTTGTACACAATTCCGTCATGCCAAACATTATCAAACGCCTTTTCAACGTCTAACAAGGCCATGGCTGTTACTTCGGATGTTATTCATCACCCGCACCAGCTGGTGATTGGTGGAATGCCCCTTTCTGAATCCAAACTGTTCCGGAAGGAGAATGTTGCTTTCCTCGACAAACTTGAGCAAACGATTGAAAATGAGTTTCTCGAACAATTTGCTCAGCGCTGAAAAAAGGCTGATTGGTCTGTAGCTTAAAGACAATGTTGGATCCTTACCGGGTTTGCGGATTGGTATGATTTTTGCTACTTTCCAGATGCTTGGAAAGTAGTGCAGTTCCAAACATCTGTTGAAGATAGCGGTTAGGAGAGACTGCACTTTCATGCTGAGTCTCTTCAAGATCAAGTTGAATATACCGTCAAACCCGGGGGCCTTCATGTTCTTGGTGCATTTCATTGCTGAGAAAATTTATTGTACTGTAATCATATCCGCCGGAGGCACGGCACAAGGGGAGGCATCTAGGTTTTGAACGCATTGCGCAACCTGATCATCGAGCGGACTTTGGATAGTCGAGCCAAGCAAATGCGATGAAGCGACATGCTCGCCGATCGCATTTGCTTTCTCCTGTGGGGTGATTAAAAGCCGATCGTCATCATTTTCGACTTTGAGAGGTGGAACGGGTTTGGGATGATTTTTCAGGACCTTGGCTACCTTCCAGAATGGTCTGGAGCGGTCGTCAAGATTCTGGACAATACGCCCGAAACTTTCATTTCGGAGTGAGTCCATTCTGGAAGCAATCTACCTGTTCAGATCGGCCATTTCACGTTTTTTGCCCAGATCTCCAGTCCTCTGAAACTGGCGTCTACGAACATTTCTCAACCGAATCAGTAATTGGGTGTGGGAATCAATAGCAACAAACTTACCCCTCACAGGAACTTGTCGAACACACGCCTCGTCAGCCACGGATATGGCCTGTTGGAGTCCTTCCAACGCCCGGTCGATGTCATCTACAGTGTCGAGCAGTGGATTTTCATTGATGTTGCTGTCTACCATTCGTCCGTACTGTACCCAGTTGACATGGCGGTAGTCTTTACGCAGGCAGCTTCTAGCAGGAACCACGTTGACACCGACTTCAGTCACCACCGGTTGGTGGTCGGAGCTGAGATCGTTGTGCGCCTCCGGCTTGGATAGTCCGATGTTTGTCAGGAAAAAGTCCAGAGTGGAGGGATTTCCCGCCGGAGAGATGAAAGTTGGTTCGTCCGGAAATTGCACAGTGTACAGACCATGTTGTGCGTGGTCGAACAATAGACATCCGTTCCGGTTCCTCTGGTAGTTCCTCCAAGCTTCATGGCGGGCGTTCAGGTCGCCCCCAACGATGAATCGGGAGCTAGTACGGGTGATGGCGGTCAGGTCCTTCTTGAATTGGATTCCTAATCCGTTGCTTGCGGTACACTGGCGTGGGCAGTAAACAGCGATGAACCGGACGTTTCCAGTTGGTGATTCCACCTCCACACTAACGGCCTCGATGATAGAAGTGCGGATCTGGGGCAGAGTACAAAACTTGATTCCCTTTCTGACGATGACCGCTACACCCCCCCCCCCCCCCCCTTGGAGCTGGTGCGATCAAGCCGGATAATGTTGTGGTCAGGCAACCAGAAGCTGTCACCGGACTTTAGGTGGGTCTCGGTTATAAGAACTACGTCGATGCTATGCTTGCGGAGGAAGTCGGCAAGCTCAATATGTTTTGCTCTTACAGAGCAAGCGTTCCAGGTAGCGATGGTTAGCGGCTTAGACACCATACTGGATGATGAACTTACCGAGCACTTGGATCTGTTCGGGCTTGTTGCGGCACTTACGTAGAGCACCGGTCATATTGATGAAAATCTCCATCAATTCATCCGCTGTGAACAGATCGGGATTATTTGGTTAAGCTGTTGGTTGTCTCCAGAGTCCAGGGGGGATGGAGAGCTTTGTCCAGCAGAAGATCCAGACGTTTCTTGAGGGGGGGTGGTTCGCACCCTTGGATTCGCTTGTCCATGAAGAGGCGGAAAGTCCTCCGCCCTGAAAGCCGGGGCCTTATCCTTCCTTCGTGCTGGTTGATTTTTGGTGCACGCCTGATTTCGGATGCGCTTGAAATCGTCGCGTTTAGGGCACTGCTTGTTGGATCCTTGGTGAGCACCACCGCACCACCGCAGGGCAGTCGGATGTGGCGTTGGCGATGGCGTCACCGAAATCACCGATGTCGCTGGCGTTCGTCGCAGTGACATCGGACTGGCCTCGATTCTTCTTCCTCTTCTTGCTGCGTTTTTCCAACACAGCTGGCTGGATATTCCCATCCATGGGGAGAACAGCAAACCTGTTCGAGGTAGGCACACCGTAGCTTCCTTCACCGGGGTTCTGGACCTTCGCCGGGCTTCGCGACCGATCTTTCCCATTTCGGGGCACACACACACGCACGACAAACCACGAAAGAGAAAGAGAGCGAACACTATCGCCACGAACTTTTCAAACAACTCGAGAGAGCGAGCTAACACCGAACTGAACTGCTTGACGATCAAGCAGAGAATCAAATGATTACGATGAGGAACAGTGGCGTTGATAATATAGATCCTTGCCTCACACCCGCGATTACCCGAATCGGGTCAGACAAAGCTCCGTTGTGCAACACTCTGCATGAGAAAGCCTCGTACTGCGCTTCGATGAGGTTGACGATCAAATAAAATATTGATGGAAGGCTTTATTTATAACTTAGTATTGATTCCTATATTTTGACGTATGAGGTAATAAGTCAGATAATAGAGAGTGTGACTCTGAGAGTGACGTTGGTTTCATCCTCTGTTGTGCGCAAAAATGTCATGTCACCGACCGAAAACAGTTTAGTGATATTTTTGCCCTCCTACAATTCAGTTTGTTTAGGTTTATGTTATTGAAGTATTTTACAGTTAAAATGTTACCCCTTCTAACCTCGAGTCAAACGCGAGTAATCGATCCACCCTTACTAGACGTAATTCTTAATTATTCTTGTTAAATATCAAACTATGATGTATCGGCTCCGTAAAGCTAACACATTTGACTCATTTATTTGTCAGTTAAATAAAAATGAACGATTAATCCAATTGAATGTCAATTCCACTCATCTAAAAATAGATAGACTAGGTATATCTGCTGTTTTCCTGGAAAAACTTCATAATTTTTTTCACTTCAGACCCACAATTCGTGTTACGTTTCTTGACGAGTAGTTACTTAATATGTACCAAATGTTTATTTTGCTTGTGAATAGTGTTCTGGATTGTAGCCAACGAGGTTAAAATAATGTGTGCCAAGATATTTCTGTTAATCAATCTTCGCTTTTTATTTTAAAAAAAAATGCAACTTTATCACGCACTTGAATTAGCGTTATCGTACTTTTGAGGAATCCAGTTAAAGTTGCAAATAATTACTATTTTTTCAGAGATTCTCCCGGTGCTGAACACTCTCAACATGTCGCATAACTACTTGAAAACTGCTGATAGCGTGGATGAACTACGCCACTGTCACTTCGTTTCGGTTTTGGACCTCTCACACAATCGTATCGAGGATATCGCCATCGTAAAGGTTTGTCCGTCCTTTTTCGTAGTATCTAAATATTTAAAATTAACGTTGATTGATGATTGAATGATTGCATCTTCAGATTTTGGGAGACATGAAGGAACTGCGCGTACTTACCATGACGGGAAACCCGGTGGTCAACGAGATCCCATCATACCGGAAGACGCTGATTCTGGAATGTGTGAGTCGTTCATACGTTACGATTAATTTCGGAAACTTATTAAACCCTACTTTTGAAACAGAAAAATCTCACTTATTTGGATACTCGCCCAGTGTTTGATCGTGACCGGGCATGCGCCGAAGCTTGGTTTGTGATAAGTTTTGTAATTTTTGTAAATCATGATAGAGAATTCGCTTCCGTTTTTTAGGAAACGAGGGGGCTACGAAGAAGAACGCAAGGAGCTTCTACGTTGGAAAAAGGAAGAGCAGAGAAAGATTCGCCGAAATATCAATGGTAATTTAATCAATTATTTTACTGCGCAAATATGCTAACTATGAACAAACTCGTAGCCACCTTGAGGATGCGCCATCGGGGTGATGGGGAGTCAGAATTAGTAAGTTTCAATATTTACTTGATTACCAGGTGAATAAATGCTATGGAACACTTTATGCTTATTTCAGTTGAAAACAAGTAGTGACGAAGAGGAGAAGGTGGAGACCAATGCATCCAAAGATGCTAAAGATTTCCAGTCGATGCTGGAAATCAATCAGAAGACGAACGAGCAAGCATGGGCTGAAGTAGAAACAATGTTATGCACTACTTCCAGTGCTACGGGATCAACGGAGATTTTTCAAAGATTTTCTGTCAACAGAGAGAGCGGAGCTGATGGCGACGACTTTGATGAGAAGGATAATGAAGTTGAGAACAATGAACATGCGGAAGAGCTTCTAGCTGTAGAAACTGGATTTCAGCCGAAGAAAAAGTTAATTGAAGAAATCCTTTCGGATGATGAAGGATTGAACCATAATTATGATACAAACGAGAATGACGCACCCTTAGCTGAAGTTAAAGAAATACCATCTGATGAAGATCAGGAAGCAAATAGCAATGACTCGACTGCAGCTGATGACCGTGAATCATTAATGCATACCGAAAAGCACCCATTGGAGATATTGAAACCGTTGAAGACTTTAATTGCCGAAGATCCTACCGATAGATCACCCGTGTCGCAGCGCAGTTGTGACACTGAACCAAAAACCTTGATCGAAGAGATCGATCCATCTGATGTGGAGGAGGAACAGAAAGAAGATGTACCATCTAGCAAGAACATGGAAAAGGTGATCTTCACCGAGCAGGAAGACGATACGCTTAATGTGATGATCGAAAGCAGTGAAGGAATTTCCATAACGATGGAGTCCAAAGAAGGTGAACTGATCAGCAAAATAGAGTCTCGCCCGCCCTCTACTGAATGCAAGAAATACAAAGAGGTGACCTTGGAAGAAATGGACAATTCCGAATCGGAACCCACGGATATTACGAATGACGATCGCGAATGCAGGAGCAGCAGCATTTCGGTGACTTCTGGCACGGACTCTTCGGACAGTGAAGACATGTTCGATAAGATCATTCCGAACAAACATCCCAAACTTGCTACAAACTATTCGACCACTTCTACAGACTCGGAGGATGAACCAGTAACTTCAAAGCATCCGACCTGCTTGGAGAAGGATAAATCTATTGCGGAATGCATTGATGAGTACAAGAACTTCTTCCTGGCGGCAAAAGTTTTGGACACTAAGTCGGAGGAGGATAGCCGATGCAAGATTGCGCGACCCCAAACAGCCAAGTCCAAGCGTACCGAGCCAATTATCTACGAAGGTGTCCTTAAGAGCATGGAAAGAAGCTGCAATGCGATTAAAGTAAAAGAAGCAAAAATGGAAGCACAAGAATCGAAAGAGGGAATGATTGACCGCTTGATCGAGCGACAGAACTCGGTTGATATGAACTTGGAGGAGCAGAAGATTTCAATTGGGGGACAGGAACACGACTTCAATGAGTACAGATTGCAAACGTTCAGAAATGATCAGGAAAAGCTGCAGAGCTTGATTGATCGAGTGACTGCCCAAAAGGATTTGTACAATACTCATATTGATCAAATCCACGATCAACTGTCGAACATCATGGAAGACTACGATCAGATCGGATTGAAGCTCAGGAAAGTTGATGATCTCATACAGAACATCAACGAAGAGCCAAAGGTGCAGAACTTGCGTAAACCATCTTCTGAATTTGAAGAAGATATCCCAGAGGAATTGGAGGCAGAGCTGTCGTCTGAGCAGGATGACGAGCCTGTTGCAGAGGAATGCGTTGCACAGCAAATTATAAAGAAGATGGTTGCTCAACCAGAGAAAAATCACGCCGAAGGATCTAAGCCAAATTCAGATGAATCCTCGGAAGCCTCTTCCGAAGAGGATTTGACGGAATTCATAAGGCCAGATCATGATCTTTTGGAAATTTTAGCCTCTCCCAAGCCCGTACCAATTTTGGAGCCAGAATTGAAACCCAATGTGATCAACGAGTTTACGCAGGATCCAGTCTATCGAAAATTCATCGCAATTCAGGAGGAAATCGATCGACTGACTGAAGACGAGCTTTATGACATTGTCACGGAAGCAACGGATGAGTTCTCGCAAGAAGCACAAGTCGAGCAGTGTTTGAATAGCCAGGTTGATCAGTACTGGAAGCAATTTGATGACATTGAAGACTTTCGCAACAACATCAACCTAAATTCTCATCCGATCATCCAAAAGTTTCGCCAGTTTATTCGTTGTCACGGTGAGGATGAAGATTCCAGTGATGATACTGTTGCGAATCTAGATAAGGCTTGCCGAATGCTGGAAAGAAGGTTGTCCAATCAGCTGTTTGATGAATATTTGATACTTAGCCGGAAAGTGAGTATCGCTACGACTGGAGGGGAGTCCAGCGCAAACGAAATCGAGTTGATTGAGGTTGATGAAGGTGCCGAGGAACGTGCAGTGGAAGTTGTTGAAAAGACAACGGCTTGGGTAGAACCCGGAGATATGGAAAATGCTGCTGAGCAAGAAGAAGAACAACCTGTACCACTAGATAGTCCACGGAAGGATTTGGAGGATATTGAATCCAAGCCAGTAGATGGCGATGATTCTGAGGACCCTTTCTTTCCGAAATGCGTTAACAGTTGTGATGAAAATGAAGCCTTTTAGTTTGTAAGCTCTTGTCACTTAGTAGCGTCTTAATTTAATAAATACACACGTGTTTGAAAATACATGCTGTTCAATCTGGATCATCCATGTTGTGAAGGCCTGCCTTTTGAGATTACGATCAATACTCGATTGTCACGCATTTCGTTTTGAGGTATTCGTTCAGAGCTTCTTGACCTGAAATCATACAAAGTGTTACATAAAATTCGTATTTTCTAATAATTGAATTTTACCTAAATCCTTCCCGAATCCACTCTGTTTGAATCCTCCGAAAGGAGCTGCTACATCCGTCTTGTTGTACGTGTTGACAAATACAGTTCCAGCTTCGACCTTATCAGCGAAGAGCATAGCTTTGCGGATGTCTTTGGTGAACACTCCACTTGCCAGTCCATACTCCGTGGTGTTCGCCCTCTGAACGAGCGCATCGAAATCACTGCTGTGGAACTTTGAAATGACCATGATTGGTCCGAACGATTCCTCTTTTGCTATGAACATGTGGTCCTGAACGTCAGTGAAGACGGTCGGTTCAAAGAACCAACCCTTCATGTTTGGCACCCGGCTACCTCCGCAGACTAGTTTCGCTCCTTCCTTCACTCCAATTTCACAGTATTCGATCAATTTGTCCATATGTGCCTTGTGATTCTGCGGACCGTGAGCGGTTCCCCTATTGAGCGGATCGCCAATCGTCATTGTTTTGATATTTTTCTTAACCTTGCGAACAAATTCGTCATGGATTTTGTCCTCCACGAACAACCGTCCAGCGGCTATGCAGTTTTCTCCTTTGTTGAAGAATACGGAAGACATTCCCAATCGAACCGCCTTGTCCATGTCACAATCAGCGAAAATGATCAGCGGACTCTTTCCACCAAGTTCCATCGAGCATTTCTTGATGTTAGATTCGGCACAGGCAGCCATGATCTTCTTCCCGATAGGTGTCGATCCGGTGAACCCGAGTTTCCGTACCAAGGGGTGTTCAGATATTGCTTGACCTGTAATCGAACCGGCTCCGGTAACTACATTGATCACTCCCGGAGGGAATCCAGCTTTAACGGTTAGCTCAGCAAACTTCAGGGCGGTCAAGGGACAAACTTGAGCCGGTTTGATGACTACAGTGTTGCCGGCCGCTATACAGGCAGCCATTTTCCACGACAGCATCATCAGAGGGTAATTCCACGGCGTAATCAAACCGCAAACACCTATCGGTTCTCGCTTGGTGAAAGTTAACACGTTGTTTGGTTTTGCTGGATTTACTGGAATTGTTGAACCTTCTATCTTATCTGTCCAACCCGCGTAGTACCGCCAAGCATCGATTGACATACCAACGTGAGTTTTCAGAGCCAGCGTGTAAACTGCTCCCGAGTCTACTGATTCGATGGTAGCCAGTTCCTCCTTGTACTGTTCCATGAGGTCAGCAAGTTTGTACATCAACTGACCCCGTTCTCTAGCAGAAACTTGACTCCAAATACCTTTGAAAGCATCATGTGCACTTCTAATTGCATAATCTACATCCGATTTAGATGCTGCTGCTACCTTGCAGATTACTTGCTCCGTAGTCGGGTTAACATTGTCTAGGGTCTTTTTATTTTCTGCGTCGATAAATCGTCCGTTGACAAACATTTGCGTCGGCACTGGGATGATCTTCTTGTTTTCTCTGAGAATAACAGAATCATACTCTGGACCGGAGTTTTCCTGGCCTGTTCCATTTCTGGTACGCCTGATGATTTCATTCAAAAACTCCATAAAACTGGGAGCCATAAAGAGGTTCTCATTCTCCAAAGGAATCTCCAATGCATCCTTGACTTCTTCTACCAAGCGAACTACATCCATTGAACCAGCTCCACAAGCAAAAAAGTCCGTGTCCATCTCGATCTCTACCTTCAAAATAGACTTCCAAATGTTCTTCAGAATGCCTTCCATCTCAACCTCTCGTTCATTCAACTCCAACGGTACCACTTTCTTACTCGCTTGGGCAAACCACTGACTCGCCTGAATCATCTTGCTTCCTTTTTTCACACGCTTCACCTTGACCAGCTGTCCATCGGTTCCGGTGATGAAGATTCCTTCCCGATCAACGAAAGCCAAACCAGCAGCTCCCTTGAACATGATCGCATTTGCATTATCCAACGAGGCTGGACCACAAAGAGATGCCCCATGCAAGCGCACGGGACACTCACTTCCGTCTTCCTCGATGATGACCGCCAACGCCCCTGGAACTGAATCCAATCCTCTGATGAAATTGAAAATTTTCTCTGCCGACTGGCTCAGATTGATGTACTGATTCTCCTCTCTGAATAACGCCGGATCATACGTTGCGCCAATGTCCGTCTGCGGAATCTTCGGTGCAGTCCCGTCGGCAATCATATCCACTGCTTCCACCATAGCGGTGACTCCCTCCGGATACAGGAACCTTTTGTACAACGTATCCAGTGTGTCGTCTCCATTAACCGGACACTGCTTCTGCAGCAGAATCGGTCCCGTATCCAGTCCATCATCGGCCCAGAAGATCGAAAAGCCTGCCGTGTCGTCTCCCTGGATCAAGGTCCACGAGATGGCACTCGCACCGCGATGCCTCGGCAAAATTGATGGATGATAGCAAATGCTTCCGAATTTGGCTCCATCAATCACCTCCATCGGAATAAACTGACTACAGAATGGCAACACGTTCAGATTGGCTCCTACCGATTTGTATTTTTCCAAAACCTCCGGGATGGGGACACCCTTGCGACGCCATGCCGAGATTTTAAATACCGGAATGTTCAGCTGGCGAGCGGTCGTGGCAAGGACGTCCTCGCGGCTGCCCTTGTCGGCGATGGTAAAGACTCCTACCACGATGTGGTGATGTTCCAGCAGAACTTCCAGAACTTCGGCAGCGAAATTGCTCTGCCCGATAATGGCAATTTTCAGGTCCTCCGCATGACCGTTCCCGTTGAACTGAAACGATAAGAATATGACAGCGAGATGAGTGTCTTTATCGGTGCCTTCGGCGTTGATTGCGGTGGAAGGTCTAGCTCCCCTAGCTGTTATGAAGACATTTGAGGGGAATGCAGTCAAATCATAACATGTGATAAGGATTTTTTGCTGGTATTATGCAAATAATAGTAATCAGTGCTGAAATAAATTTAATAAACATTCTAAAAAAAAGAATGCGTGTAAGTTGTTTTGGCAAGGAATAATCTGTACTTCTTCTCGATCGTCAATAGAGCAGTTCCACGCCAACTGACGAATCGATCTTATTTTTCCCTCTCCGAATTCCATGAAACTACGCATAATTGCTCACTAGGGAACATATCCCATCATGGTCCAGATCGGATTACCGCACTTGAACGCCCTCAGCAGAGCCGGTTGTCTCAAGGAATTCGAGTCGAAACTGGCCTTAAATCTTGAATACTACACCGATGTGCTGGACTTGCACTGCCCACTGGAATATGTTGATAGTTCAATGGGCGGGTTGAAGAAGCTTAACGCAGCCATCGTTTCGATGGTGGAGGACTACATGTTGGTTTCCTTCAGCCTGATCGATTGCAACAAGGCGCTAAGGCTGAAGAATGCAATCGATAAAGCGAATGGTGCTGGGAAGGAAACGAACAAGCATGGATACCCGGGGAACCGCAGATGAAACGGGACGTGAACCTGTACAAAAGGATAATAAAATTGAGGATAGTTTCGAAATCAGTCCGCATCGCGCTCTCTTGCCGTGCGATCTATTTGATTTTTGCTGAAGGCAGTAGTGCTGCAACTACCTAAAGCTACAACACATTTAAACAGCACTTTTCAGTGCTCAACCTGTAAAATGTCTACCTTGTTCAACTCTTATTCTTCTTCGATCCTTGTTTGGACCCTACCCGTGGCAATCCTTCTTGGATATCGATTTGGAAAATTCCTCTTCGATCCTTCGGATTCTTATAGTAATCTGCTTGGAAGTCGATTTGAATAAATTTACTGCCACCATGGCGCCTAAGAGCAAAAGAAAAAGGAAATCTCTTGATCCCCCTTCTGATGAAATTAATTTGAGCAATCAATTTGAGTTTCTAACGGATGATGAGAATGATCCATCATCCAAGAAAAAAATCTAGTAAACTTTCCCGGCTTAATGCCAAGAAGGAAAAGATTCCCCCTATTGTGATAACCACTTCAGATATCCATGCTCTTTGCACGGAACTTTTGAACTTCGTTTACTTTAAGTTTTCACTTCAAATTGGCCTTCGGGGTGAATGCCGTGTATTGGCTGAAACCGTTGACGGATTCAATCGTCTTCTCAAGTATCTTACTGAGAAGAAGCACAAATTTTTTACTTACGACACCAAAACTGAACGTGTGTTCAAGGTTGTCATGAAAGGACTGCCCAGTGGTGAATCCCTGGATCAGATCAAAGATGAACTGGCAAAATTACTTGGAGTTGTGCCACTCCAAGTAATCAAAATGAAAATGAAATCCCGTCCTGGCGATTCGCGCAACGGGATTTCTAATGATTTTTATTTAGTTCACTTCAAGTCTAGTGAACTAAACAACCTTAAGGCCTTAGAAAAAGCTAGCCTTATGCTCCATGTCCGAGTGAAGTGGGAACATTTCAGGAAGACTGGAGGAAATTTCCAAAACCTCACTCAGTGCCGGAAGTGCCAGGGATGGGGTCACGGAACTAAAAATTGCTACATGCCAGCTAAATGCATGAATTGTGGTGATTCCTCTCACGCAAAGGACGACTGTCCTGTGAAGGAAGATCCTAAGAAATTTAAATGTTCAAATTGTGGTGAAAACCACAAATCCAATTTTTGGGAATGTAAGACTCGCAAAGCGATCCTACAATCTCGTTCTAACCGACAAGTAAGAAACGCTCCACGTTTCCGACCAGGTACAAATTCCTCTGCAACGGTCAGCGAGGAACAAATTCTACATTCGTACCCGTAGGTACAAATATCACCCCTGCTTCAAATTTTTCATCTGTACCTACTCCCCTCGCTGCTAACAATGTTCAGCGAGTTAATGGAGCTACCTATGCTGCTATGGTAGAAATCAAAATACTAACCAACGTAATTCTAACGGAAATTTTGACAATTTTGGCTTAGGAAGCATTACTGCCCCTAAAATGGAATTTTTACAGAAATCATTGATTGACATGATTTCTGATATGCTTAAATCTAACTCCATGTTTTATGCTATTCAAACTGGAGTAAAGTTTGCAAACAATATTGTCATGACTTTAAAACTCAGTAATGGATTTTAAAGCATTTAATATTTTAAATTGGAATGCTCGATCTCTTAAAGATAATGAAGACGAGCTATTTAACTTTTTGAGAGTTCATAACGTGCATATTTCCGTTATAACTGAAACGTTCCTTAAATCTGACCATAAGGTTAAGAAGGACGCAAATTATTTCATTTATAGAAATGATCGTCTTGATGGGCCCTGTGGTGGCGTTGCCATCATTGTTCATAGACGAATCAAACATAACATTCTTTCTTCATTTGAAACCATAGTTTTTGAAACTTTGGGAGTTTCTGTTGATACAAAATTTGGACAATATACGTTTATAGCTGCCTATTTGCCATTCCAATGCGTAGGCCAGCAAAAGAATTTTCTCAAGGGTGCCTTCAGAAACTTACCCGTCATAGGTCTAAATTCTTCATTATTGGTGATTTTAATGCGAAACACCGCTCATGGAATAATGCTCAAAGCAATTCCAATGGTAATATTCTGTTTGATGATTGTTCTGCAGGTTATTACACTATTCAATATCCAAACAGCCCAACATGCTTTTCTTCTGCAAGAAATCCCTCAACTATTGATTTGGTCTTAACTGATTCATGTCATCTTTGTAGCCAATTGGTTACCCATGCTGACTTCGGTTCTGATCACCTTCCAGTAACTTTTGAAATATCCCAAGAAATAATTTCTAATCCCAACAGCTTTACTTTCAATTACCATAGGGCTGATTGGGAGCAATATCGAACATTTATGGAATATAACTTCGATCCAAACATTCCTTTGCAAACCAAAGATGAAATTAATTATGCTCTTGAATCTCTGACTACTTCTATAATTGAAGCAAGAGCTGCCTCAATACCAAAATGTGAGGTTAAATTCGATTCAATTATAATAGACGACGATCTTCAGCTCTTGATTCGTCTTAAAAATGTCCATAGGAGACAATATCAAAGAACACGCGATCCTGCCATGAAAGTTATCTGGCGAGATTTGCAAAAACAAATTAAACAGCGATTCTCTGCCCTGAGGAACAAAACTTATGTAAAATAATGTTTCTAAATTAGACCCGAGTTCCAAACCTTTTTGGAAACTCACAAAAAAATTGAAAAAAAAACCTCAAAAGCCTATTCCAGCGCCTAAAAAAGGTGGTACAATTTTGATCACAAATTTGGAAAAAGCTAAGCAATTCGAGAGTTTCCATAATTTCAGTTTGTGTCTTACTAGTCTTATTGAGAATCAGGTTGCTCGGGATTATCTGAATATTTTCTCTCGAGACATTTTTTTTTTCTGATGATACCTGGGGGACTGATTTAGGCGAATTAAGATCTATAACTAAAAAGTCTCATAGCCTAGTCAGTAAAGGCACGGTATTACCAAGCCGGAGGCGGCGGGTTCGATTCCCGATCCGGTCGAGGGAATCTTTCGGGTTGGAAATTTTCTCGACTTCCCTGGGCAGAGAGTATCATTGTGCTTGCCACACAATATACAAATGCATGCATTGGTATTGGCATCGAAAGCTCTCAATTAATAACTGTGGAAGTGCATTTAGAACACTAAGTTTGAGAGCACGCAATAAGCTAATATGCGCTAAGCAATAAGCTTGAAAATGCGAGTAAGAAGAAGAAGAACTAAAAAGTTTAATAATATGAAAGATCCAGGTGATTATGGAATTTTGTATATCCTCATCAAAAAGCTCCCAGAGAGTCTTTCTTGGTAAAATTATTTAACGGATGTTTCTATTTGTCATACTTTCCTGATAAATGGAAAAATTCATAAGTTGTTCCAATTTTGAAGCCGAATAAATATTCAGCTGAAGCTTCTAGCTACCGTCCAATAAGTTTGCTTTCTTCAATAAGTAAACTTTCTGAAAAGATAATTTTAAATAGAATGAAGCGAACTCAATGTTTGCAGATGAACAGTTTGGATTTCGCCATGGGCATTCAACTACTCATCAACTCTTAAGAGTTACAAATTTAATTCGTTAAAACAAATCTGAAGGCTGCCCAACTGGAGTTGCTCTTCTATTCTAGACATAGAAAAAGCATTCGACAGTGTTTGGCATGAAGGTTTGATTGCTAAATTGAAAAAGTTTAATTTTCCACTCTATATTATGAAATTAGTTCAAAATCATTTAACTGACAGAACTCTACAGGTTAATTATCAAAATTTCAAATCTGTACGACTACCTGTTAGAGCATGGGTTCCTCAGGATAGCATTTTTGGACCTATATTGTATAACATTTTCACTTCGGACCTCCCTGATTTGCCTCAGGGTTGCCACAAATCTTTGTTCGCTGATGACACAGGCATTTCCCCTAAAGGAAGAAATCTTCGTGTTATTTGCAGCAGACTGCAAAAAAGTTTAGATATTTACTAAAATGGAAGATTTCTCCCAACGCTACCAAAACTCAACTTATAATATTTCCACATAAGTCTAGAGCTTCCTTTTTAAAACCTAGTAGTAGTCACATAGTCACTATGAACGGAGTTCCAATTTCTTGGTCAAGTCAAGTGAAATATCTTGGATTAGAACTTGACCAAAAATTTTCTTTTGAAGATCACATTGAGGGCATTCAAGCCAAATGTAATAAATTTATAAAATGTTTAAACAGGAAATCCAAACTTTGCCTGAAGAATAAACTTCTAATATTTAAACAAGTTTTTAGAACGGCCATGCTTTACGCTGTGCCAATATGGTCTAGTTGTTGCACTACCAGGAAAAAAAAAG